CTAGGAGAACATTAAAGGCTCAAAAGGATTCGTGACTCCTAACTGTACATTCTCTCCTGCTCCACAAAGTGGGGGAAAAGGCAGAGAAAAAACAAATGACTTCAGAGAGAAGAGGAAGCTTGCCATGAGCCAGAGGTGAACCTCTGCTGAGCTAGATTGTTATTAAATTTATCACAATTGTCATTTGCACTTCAAGAGCTTCTGGCTCCAAAGCCTCCAGTGCTTTGCACAACATTTAGTGGAAACCCTGGGGGTTGAAGAACATGGCCAGGGGAGGATGAAACTGTCAGAGCTGACAGTTAGAGCTTCTTGAGGGGGAGGACAAGGAGGGCACTGGGAGCTGGTCAAGGGCAGGCTGCTGCTGGCACAGGCTGGGGAAACAGGGCCAGAAGCCTTGTGCTGCAGCCAGGTCAGGCTCTGGACCTTCTTGGACATTCTCCTCCAGCCTGTGTCAATGACGGAAGCCCCAAGCAATAAATGAGGTCTAGGTTAATGAAGAGAGGTATGGAAAGAATAGGAATAAAATGACAGAGGGAAGGAGAACAAAGACAGACTGAGAACACAGAGAGGAGGAGTAGAGGAAGTAGCAGTCTTACTTGGAACTGATGCTTACCACCCAGCACCCAGTTCCTGGGGGAAATCTGACTGTGTGACTTTGACAACGATATTGAATAATTTTTTTCAACACTGTTTTTTCATTCATCTGGATTCCATATCTTCCCATTCATTTGGAAAGCTACCACTGCCACATATATATTCACATATATTCAATCTATATGAAATTTGATAAACACCTACACACATTTATAAAGCCTTTTTTCAGTAACAGTAAACTGTGTATATTTGCCTTTCCTATACCAATTATATAGCCTGAAAATTAGGACAGTTTATATACATTTGATCTTCTTGGAGCAAGTATCCCACTTTGAAATACCTTTTGCTGTATTTTTAATACTGTTTACATAGTTGAGAGGGACGCATGTCCATGTGGGCCTCTAATTAGGATGGGGAGGGTCAGGTATGGAGGAAGATGGGTGAGACCTATGTTTCAGGTTGTTTTTTTTTTCCCCTGTGTCTGCTGGGGAAGAGAGGGCACTCCTTGCTGTCAAACTACATTAGCACCCAGGGATGAGAACAGTCATTTGATGATGCCCTATAGACCCCAATATGGGGAAGTGTTATAAGGATGTTACTGGAGTGATTTTGATAGTTCTGAGAAGGTTAGTTTCATTGTTCCAGGGTTGAGAAAATCTTTCTAAGGACTATTGCTTAACCAAGTCTACCTTAGCACATTCACAGACCCAGGAACAAGTAGCAAAGCTTGGCCAGGAGATATGCTGGTACTCCTGAGAGCCAGGTTGGGTGTAGAACAGGCCAGCCTAAGGTCGACTCCCACTGAACTATGTGAAAGCTGTGTCTGGGAGACCAGGTATCGCTGAGCTGCAACAACCAACAAGAACCAGAATAGGTGCAGCTCGTTGAGCAAAGCCATTGTTCTTGGCAGGGCAGGAGGTAAACAAATGATCCACTGGTGTGCGCAAGAATTGCCACTGGGAGGAGACTTGATAGAGGAGTTTGGGAAACTTCTTCATCAGGACACAGTCCCTGCAGGTGAGTGCAAGAAGTAAGGCAAGGAGCAGCCCAAACAACGCCAGGTTACAGTATTCTCCAGCATGCATATGGGTCATGTCTGGGGACAGACCATTCTGGGCTAGGACATAACACCCATTGGCAGACCTGAGAACCAAGCAGGGGGCAGGAGGAGTCAGATTAGGCTGCAACACCAGCCAGTTCACATTAAGACTGGGACAACAATCAGACTGGGCTGGGACAGGCTGCAACACCCAATAGTAGGAGCTGGAACAGGGGCAGACTAGACTAGGCCAGACTGTGCAATAAAACTATGGATGCTGAGGTGAGGCAAGTCATGCCAGCCTGGGCCAAGTGGATGTTAGTTCACTGAACCCAAGGGTTGGGGGAATCTGACATGGCTTGGGTAACCTCGCCCGGGTCCGGAGGCCCACACACTAGGTGGGTAGTGGTTCATGAGTCCCAGGGGTGGGAGATCTGGCGATGCTTGGGATGCCTGTCCTGGGTCTTTGTACTTGCCTGCAAGAACATGTCCTACTTAATAAAAAAGGTGGAGCAGTGGATACAGGTCCTATTGTAAAAGGAGAATATGGCAGCTCATTTGGTGCTGTAGCAGGACAGAACTAACCGACCAACCAAACCGTTGATGACAGCAAAAAATCTAGGCAAATGGAGCCAATGGACATTGGGAGAGTGACATCATCCTCAGATCAGTGAAATTGGCAGCATTTCAGAACGATCAAAGCCAACTGGACAGAACCCTCAGGATATGCACACATTGAGAATCTGGGTTGATATGAGGTGCCAGCTCCGCATCCCTGGGTACCTGGGACATGTGAAAAGTCACAAGTAGTTCCTCCCTTTGCTATTTCTTATTCTTTCTGGGGAAGGGGAGAGACAAAGAGTACATTCAATTTCCCCTAAATCTCAATCCTTTCCCCCGATACACCATGTAATCATTATTAAAAAATGAAATTTACATTAAAGAAAAGAAAAAGACAAATAGGGGCTTGAAAGTGATACAGCCAGCTGAGCCACTGCCTAGAATGACAGCATTCCATTTGGGCACCAGTTTGAGTCCAGCCACTCTGCTTGCAATCCAGCCTAATGAGTTTGTGAAAGCACTGGAAGGTGTCCTGCATGATAGCCTGGTGGCTAAATCTTGTCTTGCATATGCCACGATTCCATTTGGGCACCAGTTAACATCCCAACTACTCCACTTCCCATCCAGCTCCGTTTGTGGCCTCTGAAAGCAGTAGCAGATGACCCAACACTTTGGGACCCTGTATCCATGTGGGAGACCCAGAAGATGTTCCTGGCTCTTACTTGGGATCAGCTCAACTCCAACTCTAAATCTAACTTTCCAATAAAAATAAATACATCTTTTTAAAAAAAAATGGGCATTTGATTGTTTGTGTTTGTTTGTTTTGAGGGGGGCTCCGGAGCGACCGTGATGCTCATTGCCAGAGAGGATGGGGATTCAAAGTTGGAACTAAGTAAGGACCAGAGAAAGCTCCTCTCCCTAGTCCTGAAGGAAGTTTGCTGTGCTTCTGTGTCTACAGACTGCTCAGGGCTCCTAGCAAACAAACAAACAAAATCAGAATAGACAGAGAACAAGGAAAGTTTAGAACCAGACAGGAAACGGTCAGTGAGAAATTCACATATACCTTACCAGGTAGGACAGAGATTAGATACTCCTCACTGGAAAATGGAAGATTTCCCTGCACACCCCTCCTAAAACAGTTCTACACCTCAGCTGTTAACATACGCCTTGCTAGAGTTATAAGCCAGTTTAGACTATCCTAAAATCTGCCAAGTTCCGTAGAATTATGCTTCAACACTATAGACTGCTAAATACTAAAATGAGGATAGACACGAGACAGCTGAATAATACCCTCTAGCCATTTTAAGATGTATAGAAGCTAGTTGTATATAAACTAGAATCAAAAAGTCTATGAAATAGGGCCCGGCGCGGTGGCGCAAGTGGTTAAAGGTCCTCGCCTTGCACGCCCGGGATCCCATATGGGCGCCGGTTCTAATCCCGGCAGCCCCGCTTCCTTTCCAGCTCCCTGCCTGTGGCCTGGGAAAGCAGTCGAGGACGGCCCAAAGCTTTGGGACCCTGCACCCGCGTGGGAGACCCGGAAGAGGCTCCTGGCTTTGGATCGGCATAGTATCGGCCCGTTGCGCTCACTTGGGGAGTGAATCATCGGACGGAAGATCTTCCTCTCTGTCTCTCCTCTCTGTATATCCGCCTTTCCAATAAATAATAATAAAAATAAATCTTTAAAAAAAAAAAAAAAGTCTATGAAATAGTCACAGAATGTGGTTAAGAACTTGCATCTTGGGCCCGGCACGATGGCGCAGTCGTTAAGGTCTTCGCCTTGCATGCCTGGAATCTCATATGTGCACCAATTCTAATCCCGGCAGTCCCTGCCTGTGGCCCGGGAAAGCAGTCGAGGATGGCCCAAAGCCTTGGGACCCTGCACCTGCGTGGGAGACCTGGAAGGAGGCTCCTGGCTTTGGATTGGCTCAGCTCCAGCCATTGCGGCCACCTGGGGAGTGAATCATCGGATAGAGATCTTCCTCTCTGTCTCTCCTCTCCGTATATCCGCCTTTCCAATAAAAATAAAATAAACCTTAAAAAAATAACTTGCATCTTGTAACATATTGGTTACTCAATACCATGTTAATTAATTCCATAATGTTGTAAATTGTTGTTGATGTTATGTTGGAGCTTTTAATTGATCGGGAAGATATTCTGCCAGCTCTACCTTCAGAGCAGAGATGGTCTCCCCAAGAAACCGTTGAATGTATCTGGACAATTAAATGCTGGACTCTCTGCTTCGTATATGCTTACAATGAAAGAATCTCAACAGAATTTGATCTGTAATACTGCAACAAGGTGGAGGAATCCACCATGGGGGGAGGGTATGGGGAGGAATTGGGGGAATCCCAAAGCCTTTGAAACTGTGTCGCATAATACAATGTAATTAATTTTTTAAAAAAAAGAACTAGAATAATGAATTAAACACATCAATTTAAAAAAAAGCGGGGGCATTTGAAAACACACCAAGTCCCTGGGTCCCCCCCGCCACCCAATATGGGAGATAAGAACAGATTTCCACGTTCCATTTGGGGAGTGAACCAGCAAATGGAAAATATTTCTCTCTCATTTGCTCCCGCCTCCTCTTCTTCCCTTTCTGCCTCATTTTTTCAAATAAATAAATCTTGAAAGAAAGAAGAGGAGGGAGAGGAGGGAGAAAAGGGAGAGGAGGGAATGGAACAGGAGGGAGGAAATGGGGGAAGAGAGAGGAAGCAGCGAGCCTGCCTCCTCCTTTAGCAACCCTGACAAAATGGAGGGTTTCTCAGAACTTATCAAAGAGCTTTCCTATCTGATGTAAGACACTTACCAGGTTTTGACGACTGAGACAGAAGGTGAAACAGGAGGCCATCAGCAACCCAAACAGCATGCCCAGAGGAGCCATCTTAGATGGTGGCAGGTTCTGGGAGGCCATAGTTAAGAGACCTGAGGGTACACATATAGAAAATGGCTTGTTATAAAAATCTGACCCCTGATTCCTCTATGATTCCTACAACAACACTCAGTAAACATACATCAGAAATTTCCTGTATGGATCTTCTACCACTTCTAGATAAATCTGAAGCCTCTATCTCCCATAACAAGTCCAGGTATGCAAGGGAAAATATATCCTGGTTAGATCATATAACAAACCAAGACTCCTGCATGAGCTATATAACACCCCTGGTCCCCCATTTCCCCACTAACAAAGTATCAGATTGTGAGATGGAAACTAACCAACTGATCTAAGTGTACATAAACCTTTGTACTTATCAATTCTTAAACCACACCAATTATATTTGAAGACAGATGACATAGTACCCCCCAAGCCAGCAAACTTCAATATTCCCAAGTTGAAAATCTTCCACAACATTTTCTGAATGTCTAAACAAACCAAAGAAGACATAAGAAGGTCATTCCATGTTCATTGATTAGATACTTAAGATGATAGTACTATTCAATGCTACTCAATGAATATTCAGATTCAGTGCAAGCTCTATCAAAATCCTCAGAAACGAAGAAACTCACCCTGGAATTTAAATGAAATTTCAAGAGGTGTATAATATTCAAAACAATTTTTAAAAATGTTATAAGTCTTATATTTCCTGATTTCAGAACTTATTACAGAGCTATGGTAATTAGAAACATGGTATTACATTATAAATCATTGGAATAGAATGAAGAACTCCAAAATAATCACCTATATGGTCAATTAATTTCTAACAAAGATGCTAAGACACTTCAATGGGGAAAGGTGTCTTCAATAAACAGTGTTGTACAGCAGGTATTCATATGTGAAAGAGTAAAGCTGACCCTTCCCTTACACCACAAATAAAATGCACTCAAAGTGATTCAAAGAGCTAACCATAAAACAGAAAATATGGCGGAATTTTCAGGCACATGAATTTTGGATAGCAAAACACACAAAAAAATGAATTGAACTTCATCAGAGTTAAAAAGTTTTGTATCTCAAAGGATTTATTAACAAAGTGAAAAGACAACACAGAAAAAGGCAGAAAATATTTGTAATTCACATATCTGCTAAGTATAAAGAACCCCTAGATCTTAACAATAAACAAAAATAGGCAACCCAAATTAAAGGATGTGAATACACACTTCTCCAAAGAAAATATAGCAATGGCCAATGGGAACATGAAAGAATCTCAACACCATTAACCATTAGGGAAATGTAAATCAGAACCACAAAGATGAGCCACTCCACACCTACAAGGTCAGCTATAATTTTTAAAAAGTAAAATAACAAGTATTTGATGGTTACACATTACCAGTAGAAATAAAATGGTGTAGTCACTATAGAATACAGTTGGGTAATTCATTCAAAAACAAATTAGAGAAATACTGTATGTCTAAGCAATTATACTCATGGATATACACCAGAAAGAAATGAATAGAAGACTCAAATATTTGTACATCCATACCCAACACAGCATCATTTACAATAGCCAAAACGTGGAAACAACCCAAGTGCCTGTCCAGAGATGAATGTACCAAAAAATGTATTACCCACACACAATGGAATACCACTGAACCATGAAAGGAATCAAATCATGATACCACATATTGCCACAACATGAATGAACATCAAAAACACCACACTAAAAGAAGCCAGATACAAAAGGATGGATATTCTATGGTTCCACTCATATAAGTACATTAGAAATCAAAATTTGTTTCAAAAACAAAGTAAACTAGAGGTTGTTTTAGAACGAGGGGACAGTAATATTGATAACAACAGTCACAACAGGTACAGAATTTCTCACGAGGATAGTCATTTGCTGAATAATAGAACACATGTACAACCATCATCCTGTGAGACTATATTGGTCAATTCTATGACCAAGTGACCTCACAAACACCACAATGTCATAGCGCAACACTTTACACATCTGTGACAACACTTGTGTAAATCAACCCACCCACCACACTGTCAACTGCATAAGAGGATTATACACACTCTATTGATGTTTTTATTCTTAGAGTGTACTCCATCTACTTAGTAAACAAAGGAGTTGACTGTAAAGCAGTCAGCTGTGTTATGGTGACAGCAACCACACACATTTCATGTGTCTCCAGGCTGCATCGAGCAGCCAGACTGCATAGCTGACCTCTGCCATCCAGGTTTGGGTTGCACATGCTATGATGTACACACAACTAAGCAATAACTAACAACACATCTCTCAGAGCATGTTCCCATTGTTAAATAAAGCTTGACAGTAATGGAAAGACTGTGATCAGTAAGTGAGTGGCAACCAAGAAACCAATCCAAACAGGCAAATAATCTAGGGAAGAAGAAAAAGTAAAATAAGCCAAGGTAGGAGATAACGAAACAAGACTCTTACAAAAATTCAAAATGTGCTTTTAGCCCTCAACCTCACCAAAGGTTCTCAGCTGTAATACATATCATTCTGCAGTTTACTCAGTACGAATTTTAATGCTGAATTAATTACAGGGAGGCATCTCTGAAGAGTGTACTGTTTACCTTCCCTCTCCTACTTCTGCCTGTCTCGTCCCTGTTCCATCTCAATAAATCAGTCTTGGGGTAAGACTGCAGTGGGGCCCAAAGCCTTGTCTGAATCCACTCTCAGAGGCTGCCTCGCCTCAGCACACACCTTCTCAAGAGCAGAAAGAAACTTTCCCTAAGGACATCTGCAGCCACAAAGAGAAACAGCCCTGCTGGCCCGCACTGTGCTAAAAAAGCACAGCCAAATGGGAAAGCAAAGGCTTGGGTGCTAAAAATAGCTGCTACACTCACCCAGCAGCAAAAGCCTTTGCTTTCTGCCAGCCCCTCCCCACCCCCTTTCTGTCAACAAAATGGAACAGCTGAGCGCCACAGAAGCTTCCCCAGCAACCTGGCTCCCTGAGGGCACCAATCACATGGAAAGGCAGGAAGTTCACAGTACCGCACCAGATTCTGGACAGGTGCCTGACCACGTGTGAGTGTGAGCATGCGAAGGGCCAGGCTGCATGAGGTTGAACAAGAGACAGAGGTTGCCACATCAGGAGGGAGAGGATAGGGAGGCCTCGTCAGAGGTTGCTTCAAGCAGGCACATCACTGGAGCTTCCTCTAATGCTGTGAGCCCCCATACTTCTACAGCCTTGGTTTGCTGGAGGAAAGGAATAGAAGTGGGGGACTCAACAGCATTGTCTAGATGGCAGCACAATATAACATGACATAACTCTGCAAGCAACAGGCCTCCCTTCCCCACCAAAAGAGGGTTTGTGTGTCAGTGAATACACACACAGAGGCAAATCTCTTCTCACAGCCAGGGACAAACACCAAAACTTAGTGATGAGGGAAAAGGAACAGGAAGAGATAAACAAACAGGAAGATGTGAAGGGCAAGTAAGACAAATGTGCAGAATGAACAGGTCCAGAAGGACTGAGGCAGAAGAGGTCAGGGGAGCAGATGCATAAACAGCAGCTTCCCTACCTCCAGGAGTGGAAAGGGAGTGGAGGCTGAGAAAAAGGTAGCCCACAGGGCTCCTGGCAGCCTCCACCTCTAGCATGCACAGACTAACACCAATAGAAGCATTTTCTGCCAACACTTAGGATGAGATTAATTCACAAATAGATCTCTCATCTCTTCCAATGACTCCACATGGACTGCACACCAGACCTGTTTATTGCATCCATATAATCTTTCACAAAATAAAATTGGGAAGAGGGGTAGAGAGTGGGAGAGAGAACTGGAACTAAGAAGACATCTAGGTAAAGTCAGGCTGAGAAAAGCATGTGGAACAGCTTCCATGATCCCCAGGGGCATCCAGAGAATAGATACACAGTGCAGTACTCAGACACAGGCACAGTGTCCTCTGTCCACTTAAGGTCTGTCCTATAACCATGTCTCCAGCCTTTGGTCCTTAAGAAGTAACAGGTGGGGTTGGCATGTGGCATGGCAGATAAAGGCAATAGCCGATATGCCTACATCCCATATGGATACCAGTTCATGTTCCAGCTGCTCCACTTTGATTCCAGCTGCCCAAATTCCAATCTAGGTCCCTGATAATGGCTTAGGAAAAGCAATGAAAGATGGCCCAACTGCTTCAGCCTCTGTCATCCAAATGGGAGACCTGAATAAAGCTCCTGGCTCTTGCCTAATACAGCCATCTGGGGCAATGAACCAGCTGATGGAGATCTCTTTTTTCTGCCTTCTGGGCCTGTAACTCTTTTAAAAATAAATGAATAAATATCTTTTTTAAAAGAGTAGTATGAGGAGAAACAGATTTGGCCCTGCTCAAGCTGAGGGAGAGAGAGAAGGAAAGGAGCAGCAACACCCAGCTTCATCCTGCCAAGTTGAGACACTATCAAGTTGGACCAAGAAAGCATCAGCAGTAAAGAAAACCTCAGTCACCACCCAACTTGGAGCATCCACTTCAGGCACTCCTGGACTAAAGCCGATGCCCTCCTCATACCACTTACCATCCACAAACTGTTCACTGGAGCATCAGCACCCTGCAGAGTAAACGTTCCCATCATTCTGGACTCCCAACTGAGGACAACCCTGCATCTTCACTTTTATGCCTTGTTGTGACTTACAACATCATCACACAGTCCAGAAAGGAAAATGTACTTCAGTGTTCCACCAGTAACTCCTTAAGTATTCTTGGGTTTCAGAAGAAAGGGATAAGGTACTTGAAACACTCATTTTTCTAACAAAAATGCCTGTATACTGTACCTCTACTTAAACAGAGGCTGGATGCTCTCCACAATCTGTATTTCCCAGCCTACTGTGGCCAGAGTGGATGTCTGGGGAGCAGGTGGGAGGAGGCACCTACACCCTGTTGCTCCTTCACCTTGCATGGCTGCCCCTCAACTCGGACACAATTGGGGGAGTGCCTTGGACCCATGGAAATACGACATCCTCTATACCTTCCATCTTCTCTTCAGAGAAGAAAACAGAAGAATGTCATGTGAATGGCAAGAAG